TGCTGCCCTGGAGAGCTTTGGATCAGCTCCCACAGAGCTCTTGGAAGCACTATAGATTTGGGCTTTTTGAAAGAAGTAGACTGGAATTCCTCAGTGTCTACTAAAGGTATCTTGAAGTGACAACCAAGAACAAGGTGCACACCTCTAGGACCTGTGTGCTGAACCATGCAGATGAAAATCCCTGACTCCATTGTTGTTAGGCACTTCACTTGGCTTTGTTACCTCACTGTCCCAGTCAGGGAAATGGGAAACTTGGATTTAGCCTCTGACTGTGCTGCTGGCTGTGTGATCTGGAGATGAGGCATTTAATCTCTTCTCTTCCCTTTTCAGTTAAGCTGTCAACATCCAGACCAACTTCACAGTGGACTGTGGGGATTAATGAGTCTGTTTGCTCAGTGCTCTAGAAATCTGAAGCATGAAATTAGTGTTTACAAGGCATTTGCTACAGATTAATGAAGCAAAGAGCATCTTTCAGCATCTTAAGCTGTACAGCCTCCCTGGCACTCAGGGAAGGATCTTGGCATTCAGGGGTGAGAAGAATAAAGGAGTATGGCACATGCCTTTGGAGTGTTGGGAGAGATGGAGGCTTGAGGAAAACAGGAGATGAGAGCTGTTTTATAAATGCTGTTTTGTGTCCCTAGAGCCATGGGTTTGGTTACAGGCAGGATTACAAATCTTGTTTGTTCCTTCCCATGTACTGCCTGCATTTCCCTGACAAGACCTGGAAAGCTGAATGGCTTATTATGTGGCACTGCCTTAAAGTGCTCATGATTTATATTTGAGGAATCCAGGAATTTGTTCTGGTTTTAGCTGTACGGCACACCCTTCCCCCTTCCCTGGATCTGCTGTTCTCCCTGGCAGCTGCCCTAAACCCTGGAGTGCTTAGTGGCTCTGCATGTATCTAATTAGGTAAGTGCATGGGATGTTATTTGCATCGAAATATTAGTCTGGGATATGGTACAACACTGAGGTTTGCTGAGTCAAGTCAGTTGTTCAGCTGGGATGGCCAGAGTCTTGCCTGTTCTTACATTCAGTTCCTTGTTGGCAGGAGAGGAGCCTGAGTAGGGCTGGATGAAAGACTGCTGACGTCAAGGCAAAAAAATAATGTGACATGCAGCCGCATGTCACAGAAGTGCGAGATGGCAAGTTCTGGGCTCTCTGCATAGGAGACAGTTTATAGAGGGGAAAGGGGTGTGTCTGGAGTGACTTTTCCCCGTGCCTGAGAGGCCATGCTCCTTGCACATTGGTACTGGGAGCTTGCCTGGAGCCACAGGGATGCCACGTGGTATATTGGAGTGCTCATGTCAGGAGCAGCACAGGTCAGTGTGGTCCTGCTTGGCTTATCAGAGAGGGAGCTGGAAAATGCAGTGGAGAGGAACTGAATAAACTGATCCCTGGGGCCATGTACTGATGGACTTCAACATCTTGGATAAAGCTGAGCCTGCAATCCTGCATTAGTGGAAAAGAATCTCCTGTTCCCTTGCTGCTTGGTAGCCCCTTGATACCTCTTGAGCTTCACATTCTCTCTGCTTGCATCTGCTTTTTCTAATGGAGTTGCCTTGGTATACTAAAACAGCTTTGGTTTGCTGAGGCAGAATGGAATGGACATGATATTTTGTCTGTTAGAAAATACTCTCCCAGCCCACCAAAGAGTTTCCAGCTACACCACTCCCATATCCTGAAAGTGAAGGCATTCAAAATGAAGGTCATGAATGTTTAGAGGACAGTTGATATATAACTTTGCTGTCATTGCTTCTCCTGTGTTCCAAGTTGGCATTTTCTTTAAAAGGAAAAAAAAAATACTGCTAGGTTAAAGGATTTCTCATGGCAAAAACAAAACAAAAACCTATGGAAGAATCATCTCCCAGTGGAGACTAGTTATAATTACAAAAATGGCAGTGGTTTTGACATTAAAGTATAGGCTGCAGCTGACTCCTTTGCTCACCAGCATGTAGAGAAGGAAAAGTTGTGGTATTTTGAGCAGTCTGAGCTCTGTACATGCATTCACATGAGCTTTCAGGAAAGTAACAGAGCTGAATATCCAGCCCACCTTTCTGTGTGTCTGCTGCATTTGCTCCTGCAGCAGCCAGTGACTGCAGCTTCATTCCTCTGTGAGGAAACGGCACCAGCAGCCTCTTGCTTTTGAAGGGAGGAAGTGTAATTTTATAGTGGTGTAGGCAGCCGGGAAAACTTTCCTGAGCTCATCACAGACTTCCTCTGCAGCTTTAGGAAAGCTGCGTGAGGGGCTGTGAGAAGGGGCTGGCTGCCCTGCCATGCGGCGCCGCGACGGGTTGTGTCGGTGTTCCAGGAAAAGGCAATAAAATCCAGAGGGGGATGGAGGAAGGAGGTTCACGTAGCTCCTCTCTGCAGGTGCGTGGTGCCACCTCACCTCCTGCACACCGCATTCGGGGTGGGGAATGTATTTTCTCCTCTAGTCTGAATTGTCCTTCTGTGTTGATCTCCCAAGCTTTGGCGCGTCTCTGTGGTCCATTGGGGTGGCTTTGGTTGACCCTAGGCCTCTCTGGACTGTGTCCTCCTGTGAATCCAGCTTGCAGGCACCAGGCTGCTGCACGAGGAGCTTTTTTGTAGCAAAGCTGAGATCTTCATCAGGAAGGAGCTGTAAGGAGTGCAGCGTGATGCTGTTTTCACACGTTATACCCACATGCACATGCAAAAGGCATAACTAACTCCTTCCTGTATTTCTTCCCCTCTTTTAAAAGCCTGCAGACTGCTTTAACTTTCTGCCCTCTGCTTCCCTGGTGAAGGCAGCTAATCAGTCTGTGGCCAGGTTGGACTCCCAAGGGGCTCCAGGGGAACAAGTGAAATGGGTTGCAACAAACGTATCCCCTGGGTTGGAGTCTGCTGGGAATCCTCTGTGTGCCCTGAGCACCTTGCATTTAGCTCCAAGGGCTGCAGCTGAGGAGGATTTGTTGTGCACTGTGAATGTTTGGGGGAAAGCAAGGACAGAAGTGCAGTTGAAGATCAGTGTCACCCCGGATTCCTGGAGGTGATGCAGAGAGGTTTGTCCAAGGACCCTCGTAGCGCCACCTGTATCTGTCCCTTCTTTCTCTTGAGGTGAGGGATCTGTATCCCCATTCACCACTGTTGTTTCAGTGGCTTTGAAAAGCAAGTTTGGGGTCATGGCATGCAATCTTTGGTGCAGCAGTGTGTGGTGCTAATTGAAACATGGTTCTGCTGTTTCTGAAGCCTTTAATCTCAAGGGCAGAAGTGGGTAATGACAGACAAAAATGACATATTAATTTCCTGGTCACCCCCCATTTGGGAGTAGTTTTCCTTTTTTAATTGCAATTTCCCTTTGGTTTCCTTGTCCCGTTAAAACCTGAAATCTGCTTTGCCAAGGTTTTGTTTATCTAGGATCTTATGTGTTGAGTTGTTGTAAGGTTGACTACCCTGGGAATCTACGTGTGATGGCATAGGGGCACTTTTCCTCTGCACTTCATGTGGCTATTTTGTGCTTTCTCATTTCAGAGACTTTGATTCTCTCTCCAAGGATGACGTCTATGAGAATAATCGCTTGGTAAGTTCCCGTTCTGCAGTGCACAGAAGGAAGAAATTATGTGAGAATGACTTGATGGAGGTCACGTAGTGTGGGAGGAATTTGTGACAGTACTGAGGGTATAAGAAAATCTGTGTTAGTAAGTAATAGGCAGGAGCTTCTTTGGAAACAAGGCAATCGGAAACAACAGCTTCCAGCCTGGTTATCCTCATAGTTGCCAAGACAACATCTCAGGTGAAGATTTAAATGGTGCAACATCTTGACTTCAGTTGTTCCAGATTTGCAGGCAGGAAGCATGGAAGCAGGAAGCTAGTTTTACTACAGGATTCAGCAGAGAGGAAGGTCATGTAGACCCTGGTCTGCAATGTTCCCTTCCTGCTTGGGACAGCTGGAGCCAGTAGCAGAAGCAGGCAGTGTGGAATGGGGAGGTGCCCAGCCCCAGGGGCTAGTGGTAGGACAGAGCAGCAATAGCCCTGTTTGTTTTAAATGACAAAAAGTCCTAGTTGCTGCAGGATCCATCTGACAGTCTGTGGAAAGGCACGGCCCATCATCTTCCCGAGATGAGTTGTGCTACATATAAATATCTTAAGGGTGGATGTCGACGATGAGGCCAGACTCTTCAGTGGTGCCTCGCAACCAGAGAAGGGGCAATGGGTACAAACTGAATTACAGGAATTCCTCAGCTGAATATGAGGAAAAACATTTTTTACTGTGAGGGTGACAGAGCACTGGACTAGGCTGTCCAGAGAGGAAGTGGAGTCTCTTGCTCTGGGGATATTTAAACTCTGGCTGGATGCGATTTTGTGTCACCTGCTTTAGGTGAACCTGCTTTAGCAGAGGTTTGGACTAGATGATGTCTGAGGTCTCTTTTAACCCCGGCCATTCTGTAATTCTGTGATTTGGGATTTACGGGATTAGGGCTGTCCAGCTGTGTCCTGGCATGTCCTTTCCTATTCCATTTGGCCCCTTTCAGTCATTAGCAGCATTTTCCATTCAAGACCCACACAATGGGTATCTTGTCCTATTAGGACCTCTCAGGTGGGATCTCTCTTCACTCCTTGCTCCTTGCAGCCTTGTGTTCAGTAAGACTCAGTCCGGACCACTGGCTTAAAGCCTGTGGTTTAAGGCTGAACAGAGCCGGAGGTCCATGGGAGGGTACTTTTATACTCCTAGTTACTGGAAATAACTATTTTCTTTTGTTTCTCCATTCCTTTCCTTTATATCTCACACCCTGCACAGCACCTCGTGCCCCAGAGACTAGACACCTTCAGTCTTTACCTACACCCAGTACCTTTACCTGTGTGCCTGTTACCTCACCATTCAGTGCCCAAACCACTCTCATCTCTTCCAAACTTACTTCTCTTCAGTCCCTGCCATAGTCTTGCACCCCTGTCCCTGAGAGATCAATGTGGGTTCGCTGCCCTTGGCTCAGCAGAGGGATGGCTAGTGCAGAGACACTAATCCACACACACTGACAAGTGGGAAACTCCAACAGCTTTTTATCTCTTCCATTCCTTCCTTTTGGGTAGCTGTGTATGCAGTTGGAGAAGATGGGTACTTCTTATCACAGTGTCCTTGTTTCTGCTTGCTGAGACACAGAAAAGTACTGGCAGTACTGGCTTGTGCGTGGCAGGGTGCTGGATGTTGAGCCAGGCTCTGTAGATTGTGGGAGGGGAAGGTGTGGCACCCCAGAGCAGGAAAAGATGGCCAGTCAGTGTTTCTGTGGGGTGAGCATTTGGGGCGGCTGGGGACACTGTTCCGTAGAGCTCAGTGTCACTGGAAGAACCTGCCAGCCCTTGGCCCTTCATGGTGCCAGCCAAGACTCTGCCAGGCTCTTGTGTGAGGGCACTGCTGGTTGAGCTGAAAAAACACAGGGTTTTTTTTCAGTGAAAACTTGAAGGGAACCTTGCTTCTGTTGCTACTTTTTTTAGTCAAGCAGCATGTCTGGAAGCCTCTGCCCATAAGGGATGCCATAGGTTCACTAACCTTTCTGGGGTCTTTCCAATTTCATATCTCTATTATTTTTCATGAAACATCAGTTTTCTTTCCTTAATGCCTCTGTGCTGTTCCTGCAGGCATTTGAGTTGGCAGAGCGGGAGCTGGGCATCCCAGCCCTGCTAGATCCCAATGATATGGTCTCCATGAAAGTCCCCGACTGCCTCAGCATTATGACTTACGTGTCTCAGTACTACAACCATTTCAACAACCCCAGCCAAGGTGAGTGTCCTCCCAAACCCTCAGGCTTCCAGTTTGCCCCTGTTTGAGTGCAGGAAACCCAGCACCACCTTGTGCTTCCTCCTTCCTGTGGCAACTGGGAGCTGTGTTTGTGGGGAAGGGGAGAGGAGTAGGCAGTACCTGCCTCTCCTGTGCCTTGCTGGTGCCCCTGAGGAGGGCTTGAAAGAGAGTGCATTGGGGCGAGGTGTGGGGTGATGTAATAGCTCAGGCTGCGGAAAAGGAAACGCCTTTCTCCTCCCTCTGCACTGCATTCCTGCCAACTTGGGTTGAGCCACCACCCCTGGTGCTCACAAAAACCCTTTGTGATCTGCTGTAACCCACTAAAATACAAGAAAGCTAAACAGGAGCCCATCTCCCACAGCTAATTTTTATGACATAGGTACATGTAAAGTGACTGGAGGACAGAGGGAGTGGAGCCAGGCTGGAATGTTTCAAATCAGCTCATCTGTCCCTACAACTGCAGCCTGAGCTGGGTGCTTTGAGACAGCTGTTCCTGGGCATCCTTTGTCTGGGTGGAGATGAGAGCTCCAAGTCTCCTCTGCTTCAGACTGTAGCCACAACATCAGATAAATCTCTTCCACTTGTATATGCTTCTCCAGGGATGCTGGTCTCCCAGACAAGGAGTCCTGATGGAGATTGGTGTGTGAGCTCCAGCTCTGACAGTAAGAGATGCTTCACAGACCTGCTGACAGCCTGGAAGCCCTGGGGCCCAATGGCTCACAACAATACATCAGCAGCTACCCCAGCTGCTCTGGGCTTTGAGCATTGCTTAGGGAGTCAATTACGAGGAAGCCAAGTAGCACGTGATGAGTAAATAAAAATCACAGTGGGAAGCTGGTATCCCTGGGCCACAGAAGGAGATCCACAGCAGGCCAGGCTCTCTGACAGCCTCATAGCTTACCCATTATTAGATTGTGTTTGTATCTTCCACCTAAAATAAGCACTGAAGTTTTGGGAGCGGCAAGTCTCATCCTATGTCACAAGGCTGGATGATTTTATTTTTTTTCCCCTCCCCTTCCCACACATGGGTGGTGTGAGTCACCACTGCTCTCCACGCCTGATCCTCATTCCCTCTTGCCTCCAGCCAGCGTCCCTCTGCCTATGAAGCGACCAGCTGCTGCCTCTCCTCCTCTGCTGTCCCAGAAGACGCCCGTGGCTGCTATTGAGAGTCCTTCAGCACCACAGGTACCTAATTTCTTAGGAAAGTTTCCAAGACAGCCTGAGGCAGTGGTACCCCCTGCACTGAGGGTGAGGAGATGGGAAAAAGCCTGTCACAGAGCCATGGACCTCTGCAGGAGCCTGCCTGTGTGTTTTGAGGGTGAGGGGTGTTTGTGATTTTGTTTCCTTGTGGGATGCAGCTGAGACTGATTTTTCTCTATGAGTCTGTGGACTGTAATTTGTCCATGGCAGGCAAGTGGTTGGGCAGATTGGTGCTGGGTCTCCTTCCTTATGGGGGGATAACCTTGTAGATGAGGAAAGAGCAGGAATGTGGGATTAGAATGGGAGAAAAGATGCCTTTTATTTCAGGTTTTAGCAGTTGTCTGGGATGGGACCTTTTTCAGTGTTTTGCAGGACTCTGGTGCATGGGGTATGCACAGAGTTCCACAGCCCTTCAGCTGTAGATAGGGCCAAGGCAGCTTTTGAAGTGGACCCTTCTAATTTGGGAAGAGGCAGCCTGCCTGTGCCTGGGCTTGAGGGCAGCTGTTCTGTACATTGTCAGCCCCTGAGGTCAGCCCCTGAGCTGTGCCACGAGTCCTCAGTGATGGGCCTTGCACAGGGAGCAGCTGCTCTGGAGAATCCAGGGTCGGGGAGCAGCTCGTGGCCCCCATGCTGAGCTGCCTGCACACTGTGTCCCAGGATGATCCCCCCTCGGAGCGGTCCCAGCGCAGCACGCTCAGCAGCACCTGCGCAGCCTGCCAGCAGCACGTCCACCTGGTGCAGCGCTACCTGGCCGAGGGCAAGCTCTACCACCGCCAGTGCTTCAGGTATGTCGTGGCCAGGCCTGCTGGGGCAGCCTCTCCCCTCGGCACACTGGGGGTCTTGCTGCACCCCATCTTCGAGTGTCTGCATCCCTGGGCAACATAGACCACGAAAAACAGTGCTTGAAATAAAAGTGAAGATGTTCCATTTGTCTGCCAGCTCCCTGTCCCAGAGGTCTGACTAGCCCCTTGTGTCCCTGTGCTCCATTCCTAACCTGCTCCCTGCCTCCCTTGCTGACTTGTGCTTTCCCACTTCACTTACTTGGAATCCCAGCTTCTTGAGCTTCTCCCACCTCCATAAAAAAGGATGCTCTGCCTCTTTACCACCTGCCTACCCAGGACCATCCACCTTCCCCTTCCATTGAGGTCTGAACCATGACACCATCCTACAGACCTCCTTCCAGCTACACTCCACATCCTCAACTGGATATACAGGCTTCCATGCTGCCTGGGTGGTGCTGAGCTCCCAGGGAGCATGTGGAGAGCTGCAGACTGTTAACAAACTGAGGAATGAGCAGCTCTCTGGTTACTCCCTGAGTGCAGGTCCTTACCTGCAGCACCTGTGAAATCATTTTACTTTGCTTTCCCTGCTGTGATGATGAAGAAATGAGATCACTCCCATGGGCCACAGGACAAGGGTTGGCATCTGGTCAGAAACATGGAGTCACTGGGAAGATGTGGGAGGCCTCATTCACCTGCCTAAGCTGTGCTGTAGAAACAGTGTCATGGGAGGGCAGTTCAGCTGGGGCCCATCAGGCTTCCCATCTGCAGCTGGGACAAAAGCAGGAGTTTTGGGGTGCAGGTGCAACATTCCCTCATGGACCAGGCATAGGGGAGGTGCCAAGTCTGCCATGGCACAACTCATTGCCCTTCAGACTGAGCAGGGAGACCCCTGTAATTTAATCCCAAATATTTTGTCTCCTGATTATTTTCTTGTCTATTTTCTGCAAACTGCTTTCTCCCCTTGTCTGAGCTTTACACCTCCTCATTTCATCCTACCCCTTCTGTCTAGAGTCCCTATGTCCTCACACTTCTGCTCTCCATTTCAAAGGAAATCCCAGTCAACTGGATGCCCAGAGCAGAATTCCTTCCCAAAATTATCTACTGGCAGCATAGGGCAGCCAGCTGCTGCAAGCACCAGGTATTCAGACAAGAAGGAACAAGCTTGGTTTTCATGGGAGTGCTTGATCAGCCCCTTGCCTTTGGCTGTCTTTCATGTATGCTATCCTCCTCCCTTCCCAGGTGGAGAAGGACTGACTTGGCTGCCAGTGCTTTGTATCATGCTTGCGCCTGGAGGGCTTCATTAGGAAGCATTCAGAGGCTCAGCAGGGGGGAAAAGTGGATGATCCAAGGAGATGTAGCAGACAGCAAAGGACAGCTATTAGCCCAATTTCAACAGGCAAGGAGTGTGTAAGAATGGCCCTGCAGCCTAAGGCCAAAGGCTGTGGCCCAGCTGGATGCCATGGTCAGCATTACTGAGGCTGAGCACGAGACAAGGCCAGGCTTGTGTGTTCCTTCTCCTGAATACTCTGGAAGCCTCCAACACAGTAATTTCCCAAGTAGAAATTGATGTAATTTTATTTAATAATCAGCATTGGGGTGCAGTTGTTTTACAAACAAATGTGTCTGACATCTCTTTCACGTGCCAGGACCCTTGGCCCCCGCAAGGCAGCCTGTAGCCTCCCTGTGCCAGTTCTGAACCAGTTGCTCCCTAATTTCAGTTCATATTCACTGTTTCATGTCTGTGAATGGTTGATCCCTCTCCCCATTCCAAGTGTGAAAACCACATCATGTCCCGATAGTAACTGTCACCCTTCCATATCTATTCAATCCTTTCTGAGACGAAGGAAGAACCCAAATGCATGCCGTATTTGAGTTGTGAACTTGCCATGGGGTCCTACAGTGGCCTGGTTACATTTCTCTGCTTCTCTTCTTTTCCAAATGACTTCCCCAAGGGCACTCTAGGATTTAATAGCAGGGGTAAGAACTAACTCTATCCCTACAAGGGTCTTCCAGGTGTGTTGCCTTCTGTGAAGAGCAGGGTGGCATTCCCCATCTCATGGTGCTCTCTCTTCTCATTGGCAGGTGTAAGGAATGTTCCAGCACGCTGCTCCCGGGGTCATACAAGCCTGGGTCAGAGGCAGGGACGTTTGTCTGCACACAGCATCGTGGTAAATTGGCTGTGAGTGGGAAGGCAGAGAGGAGACCCAGCCTAGACCGACAGTCACCAGAGCTAAGAACTGAGACTGGGGCTGACAGCATGGGAGAAAATGCCCTCCAGGCAGGAGCAGAGGTGGGGAAGGATGATGGTGACTTCCAGGAGAGTGTGGCAGAGACCTCTACGCCTGCAGAGGGCCTTGCTGGCCCAGCAGAGAAGGACAGCACAGCCAGCAAAGCAGAGACACCGACACCCCCTGCTCATGCTGGAAGTGGGCCACCTGTCTCCCAAACTCCCCCCAGGCCTCCAATCCCCAGCAAGCCTGCAGGGCTCACCCAGGACAAAGCCAGCTCACTAGATGGACGGCGTCCCACCCCAGCCCCAAGGAAGGCCACCGATGGATCTGCCCTCTCCCCTCCAACCTCCCACCCTGTCCCCCGGCCCAGGTCCACTCTGCAGGGCGAGGGCAGCGAGTGTGGGCCTGGCATGGTGAACGGTAAGAGGGCAGGGTGGTGACAGGGGTTACCCTCCACATCCTCAGTGGCTGAGGAGCTTGACTGTAGGATGGCTGAGTTCCCTTCCTTCTCTGCAGCCTGACACTCTTCTGTCTCTGAATAAATCTTGGGCTCAGACACCAGGTCTTTGATTGTCAGCAATTGCCAGCCATCCCCATAGCAAGGAGAGCAGTACTATTTTTCCTGCCTGTCTG